CCTACTGATGCGGGGTGAGGGTGAAGAATGTTGGAGTGGCAGCCTTGATGCTATGCCAGCACTACTCAGCACTAGCCAAAACACTGGTGTGTTAGCAACACCTTTTTAACTACCAATACAAAGCACAGCACTATGATGGCTGCTATGGGGAAAAATTAACTCCATCTCAGCCAGAATCAATACACATGAATTCATCCTGGAGTACCTTCGAAGGCTTTAGCAACTGGCAGACTGGGAAGACCAGCCCTTTACTGCCAAAGCCAAGTGACCTCCTCCACAAATACTTGCCAAGAGCAGCTGTCACTTTAAAGGGTAGGGCTGGCATACGTGCTACCCTTTTTCTTCCAGCCTGGTGCTAAATGTAGGATGGTGACAGAATTCAGTTCTAGACAAGACGGAATTAGCAGTGCTGTTCTCAGAAGGTTAAAAGAGTGAGGCCCAGTACAGGTTTATTCATCTGGAAACAAATTCCAGGGAGAAAGAGGCTCCAAAATCCGTTTTGTGGTAAATTACAGTGGATGCAAGTTCCCAGATAAACAAGAGTGACCATCGATATGCTTGGGACAGCTGATATATGTACTCTTGCTGCTAGCATCCAGGTTAACTGTGTCAGCTCAGAGTAGAAGGGCACAGTCCCACAGCCATCCCAGATCAGCTAGCTCAGAGCTCTGCCCATCCAGCTCAGACAAACAGCCTCATCCCTTCCCTTCACCAGCATGGTGGCTTGTTTTACCCCATGCTGTGCATTTCCTGGGGAAAATGTAAATCCATGGTTTTCTGCTGGTTTATGTGCTGCACTGAGTGCTTGGACACCTGTCCCTCATGTGGGAGCACATGGAAAAAGGAAGGACAACACCATCTGTCAAGGAGCTGCAGGGCATTTACAGACTGCAGATGTATTCAAAGTGTGCCTTGCAGTCCAGAGGTCTTAATAGGGCAGAAGCAAATCCAAGGAAGGAGAGAGGTAGGTGTACTCAGTTTAGGGTGAGCCACAGCAACTTCTGCCCAGCTACAGTGACTCCAGCAGACAGCTGAAGCAGGGGAAAAATGTTTGCAATGGATGTTCTCTCTATCCTGCTGCACCTCTGAGATCCAGCATACAGCCTGGCTCAGTGGTAAGCTCTGATTTTCTCCAGATCAATGTCATCTTGGCCCTGTCCCCTATGCTGGTAGGAATGTCAGCAGGCAGGAGGACTCATCCATGTATTCACCCTGTTTTGCGCTCTCATAGCCAATGGCGTCACTGGGAAAGTTTTGAATCATCAAAGAAATAATGAGCATTACTCACTACCTGCCACGTGGGAGTATTTACCCACAGTAATAAAGAGGGGAGGGAGGCAGCCAAAGGTGTGCTCCAGATCCAGAAACTCTGGCAAAATTGCCAGGAAGTGGTGATGGCTGGTCCCTGCCCTGTTTACGCAGAGAGACCTCATCAGATGTGAGGTTTTGGCTCCCCTGTATATCTAAAGGAAAACCTCTGGTCACCCACATCTCTGCTTTTTTTTGCATGCAAAAGAGAAGAACAAATTGTTTTCTCCTTCTTATTCATGGGGAGACCTCAGGATGAGCAGAGAGGCTGAAGAGAGGCTATTGTCATCTCTGTAAAAACCATCCGGAGTCAGGGAGGGAGCTAAGGATGAAAATGAGTGTGGTACTTGTTCTCCTCTTTATGACTTGCCCTCTTGTGCAACCGGATGATAGATTGTGGGCTCTGGGCTTGGGCTGCACCAGCAAAGCAGTGCTCTGCTCCCAGGGTACTGTGGTCCCTGGTATTTCTAGTATGCAAAAGCCGTGGCAGGAGTAGCAGAACAGGAGTTAAAATATCAGTACAAGTGCAGCAAGCTGGGAGGCTGACAACAGCCATGAAATCCATTAAAGGCAACAGATAACAGCAAGGAATTCGCAGGTGCTGGGTGGAACGGTGACGACACCAAGGCCACACTGCAGATAAAACCACCAGGCAAGAGCAAGTGGAGCAAGAGAGATGTGATGCAATCCAGTTTAGCCTCCTGCCATCTGTGCTCAGCCACATGGACAGCATACAAACAGCACTGCAGTCACGTGGGAGGCACAGGCATGATAAGGACATGCGATGCAGTGAACAATACTGGGTGAGCTGCGTGGACACTAGTGGGTGTGTGTTGGTGAAAGTGTGGGTGCTGGAGACCTGCTGGGAGCAGCAGAAGGGAGCCCCTCTTTGTGATGTCAGCAAGACAGAGGAGAAAAGCCCAGGCTCAAATGCATGACTGTCTCAGACATAGCTCGAGCTACGTGGCCAATGTGAGGGCAAGGAGCCACCAGAAAACCTCCTGTCCCATCTAAGGAAGAATTTCACCACCTGTTCTTCAGGGGGGCAGTAGGCAGGACTTTCATCAGGGGCTGCAAGCCTGCAAGCTTGAGAGAAAAGCAGGAAAAGACAGAAACAGTTTTCAGGAGGTGATTTCCCCTTTATCACCTCTTAGTGTGTCATTTTAATTTGCTTTGTGAAGGCAGTGGCATTTGAATACCACTGAGGAACCAGGTGGAGGAAGACCAAGCCTTGTATTAGCCAACAGCTTTTCCACAGCACCACATGACCTGCTGCCTCCAGATAAAGGAGGAGGGATGCAGACATTTCCTGCTGCCCTCCATCCAAGGAGAGTGATCTGGTGCACACAACATGTCTCAGCTGCACAGCCCCAGCCCATCGCTCCTGCAGTGCCACCGGCATGACACAGAGACAGACCATGCTCAGGACTGGCAGCAGAGCATGGTTCTCTGCAGTGGTGGTGCCTGAGGCGTTATGATCAGCATTTGGTAGTTTTTGGTAGTAAAAACTTTGAGAAAGAATATAAAGGCCCATGATAGCTCTCATCCAAGGCTGTGCTGTGTGTTGAAGCAGCTTGTAGGAGGTGGCCCCATGTTGTCTACATAGTTGAGTGTTGGCTGGGACCAGATTTGCAAGGTGGGTGCCTGAGAAAGTACATCCACATGTGCCAGAGAGTGAGAGCTGCTGTGTCCCCTGGTGCATAGCAGGGCTTGGTCAGGGCATCCGTGGCTTTGTACATGGCCCACTGAGGATGGAGGTCTCCCACCTCCCTGCTGATCTGGGTTGCTCACCCTCTGGGGTCAGGCTTCTTTCCTAACTCCTGGCCTGAACATCTCAGGGCTGCAGTTTGTCCCTGTTGCATTTTATTCTGTCACCTGGCACTACCAAGAACTGCCCTTCCAGTGGCTGTGGGCTGCTATCAGATCCCCCCTCAGCCTCCCCTGTACTAGACTAAACAAGACCAACAAGCCTCCATGTGCCTCAGAAGCAACTGCTAATGCAGTTAAATATTTACTTTAGTTGAGGGATTTCCAAAGTGGAATAATAATAAAAGCCAAAGGTTATTGAACTGTGTAAACTCCACGAAGAGGGAATATAAAACCTGTACATAGTTGCCTTGGCAGAGCAGAGGAATGGTTCTGCAAGGAGATCCCTGAACTGGTCACCTTCCCCCTTCCCAAAATCTAGTCACAGCCCTGCTGAGCTGGATGGAAAGACGTCCCAAGAGCAAGGACAGAGGCAGCCTCATGCAAGGCCCTTACCCCTCTGGCCATGGGAGATGCTCACTAAATTATTCCCCCTTGTTTCAGCCAGCCAAGGCCAGTGTGTATCTTCCTAAACCTCAGGTAAGACTGTGGGGAAGAAATCTCCTAGGCACAGTCATGGGTCAGCTTCTCAGCAAGCGCAAATGTGCAGGCTGTGGGTGTCTGCAGCAATCCCAGCCTGCTGGTGGTTTCTGTAGGACACCGACACCCTGCCTGCCCCTTGCACACACAGAATTTCACCCCCGCTCCCAAGGTGAAGGAGACTCTCGGTCTCTTCTAGACCAAACTTCTCAGCAAGTCTGTCCCAGAGGAGTTTTTAGTCAACACTGGTCTTCAGCTATGACACTGACTTTCTGCCCAGTGATTCTCTTTTCTATCCTTCACCCTTCACCAGACTATTTTGATTGACCAGAGAAGGTGGGGATGGATGTGGAAAATTCCACTTCTCAGAAAGAGGTGATGAGGATGCTCACATGGAAAGACTGACATCAAGAATCCAGTCTTGTAGGCAAAGCAGATGGGATCTTCTGGGGTTGTGATGATTGCTGAGAGGTCCTTCAGTGAAGAGTTGGTGTCTCTTACCACTGAGGATCCTCTCCAGCCTCTCTGTCCCCTCCCTGCTGTATGTGCCACTTCTGTGTATTTAAACTGAGTATCCATGCACGCAGCCCCCTTCCATCTCACTGAATCTTATGATAAAGATCACTTTGCTCTGTTGATCTCAGCTCAACTGTTTATGTATCCAAGCTGGTGAGTAGAGCAATGCCCATGACAATGAGTAGAGGAGCACAGGCAGCAGCTGCACCTGCAAGCTCCCTGCTCCCCCTCAGCTGAATTTTGTTCTCCCAAGCCCCTCTGCACCTCCAGACTGTCCCATCCCACCCAGTGATGGGGTGAGCTTGCTGTAGCATGATGACAGGCCTCCTGTGTTTGAGATCCCTTTCCTGGGGTCCAGCTGAGCATCTTCCTGGCTGGGTCTCATGAAATAATGCTCAGGCCACAGTGCAGCCACCCAAATCAGTCTGAACTTCCTGGCTTTTCCATGTGAAGTTTCCCAACCCAGATGGAGATACCTGCCATGTATGAGGAACAGCAGCTGTAAAGCTGGAAGGCTGGTTCAGTTGAGACACACCCATAGGTAAGCTGGCTGGCTGGACCAGAGAAGAGCAGCATTGCCCAACGCAGGCTACAGTGCAAAGGGATTGTAAAGCAGCCTCCAGCTGGCAAGCAGCATTGGGGTGGCTTATCAGTTGCACAAGAGTGCACAAGTGATCTCTCTGGGTGCATGGTCCAGCTGTTCCCAGCGCAGATCAAATACTGCTTATAATGCTGCTTTTCCCAGCCCTGCTGAGATAAGCCAGTGCCCTCCTCTATAAAGGCAGCCATGAGTCGAGCGAGGTGCGCGAGTGTGTGCACCTGCACCAACCATGCCTGCGAGGGAGCTGCTGGTGGTGGTGGCAGCACTGATGATTTTCATTGCTGCTGATGGTAAGCCTGCTCTGCTGTTGGCAGCCGGCTCTTTGGTGGCAAGTTGGGAACCACAGAGGGACCAAAAATGGGTGGGAGGGCAAAAAAGAACCAAAACCTGTGATTTGGAGAGCAGGTGAGGAGGGCAAGTAAACACAGTGGCAGTGTGGTGTGGAGGAAGGACTGGAGCAAATACACCATGCTTTATTAGCAGTCTGGGGCAAAGGGTTACAGGCTGGTTCATCAACTGTATTGCACTCAGGAGAGGGATGGGACAGGGGACAGCCCAAAATGCAAATGGGAACCAGGATCTGGGAGGATGGCACATACACTGGGGTGTCAGATACTGTCATTCGTGCCTCCATGAAGACCTGTAGGTCTTTGCAAGAGCCCTATGTGCTCATCATATTCATGTGGGAAGCAGTTATTTGTAGTCTCTGTAAAATTGGTGCTACCTAGGTGCATGTAGTGGTGGTTCTGCAGCAACCTGTGAGCCCTCATGCTCCCAGGGCATTCATGCACTGCACAGACAGGCTGTGAACTGTTGCTACTGCTTTGCCTGACTGCAGAAAATGAACCCACCAAATGCAACTCTCCCTGGGGGTGGTTGTTGTCCAGCCGTGTAGCGTCACCGAGCCTCAGCCCTCTGAAGATACCCGATGTCCCCATGCAGCACTGCATGGGTTCACATTTCCTGGAATGTGTTGGATGCTCTGAAGCTCCTTGTCTAGAGAATGGGAGGGAGGGGTGTTAGGAGAGAGATAAGGGGACAGGAATGGGGTATTTCCTGCTTTGGCTCAGCTGGCTCAGCTGCAGATGGAGGCTGTGCACTGTGCTGTTGGGAGGGGTGTGGGGGTGTCATGCAGCAAACCGATCCAGGTCCTGAATGGGCTCTGCACAGCCCTGTCTTCCCCTTAGTTTGCATGTGACCCTCTGTCAATACCTTGTGCTCCTGGTACCGGTCACATGTGTGCCACACTCTCAGGTGTCTGCTTTGTTTCAGGAGCAGAGCTGAATGAAAGAAATGGCCTGAGAAGGGTAAGAGGTTTCTGTTTTCCTTGTTGATGGCTTGAGATGGGATTCAGTGCCTGTCATGCCTGGGAGAAAGGCTGTTCCCCGCAATCATCACCAGCCTTATGGGTACTGGCGCTCCAGCATCAAACCCGCATCAAAGACCAGGTTATGAGTCCTACAGAGGGATGTAGTGGCCTCTGCTCCCTGCTCTCCCACTCTGTGTGCATGCCCTACCCTGTCTGGGGCAGAGGGAGACAGGTCACCGGTGGCACTTGCACCTGCAACAATGATGTGGGAGGAAGACATGGATGCTGCTGGCACTGAAATACATGCTGTGGTTTCTCCTTTCCAGCCGGTGTGTGGAGACATGGTCGAGCTGCAGGCCTGCCCCCTTCTGTACTTGCCTGTCTGTGGGACTGACGGGAACACCTATGCCAGTGAATGCCAGCTCTGTGTGCAGCAAATGTAAGCTCATGACCTTGGCAGAGACCTTCAGGGGTCTAATTTTGTATGTTTGAAACTGGGCACCTGTGAAACACTGTCATTCAGGCTCCCCTGTGCCTGGGGAAAGCCATGGCAGATGTGTTAACTGCTAGCAAAGTGGAAGAGGACATTTTCATGTCGGTTGAGCCAGGTGCTGGGCTGTGAAGACTGTGAGCTTCACTCTCCTCTGCTGGCAGTGGCCACAGATAGGTGCAGGCATGCCCCCAGCCCTTGCCTGCAGGTTCCTGCCCTATCCTTGGCACCACATTTAGTGACTACTGTGCAGCTGCAGGCTGAGGGATTTAGCTCATTGTGTTGGCAGAAGACTAATCCCACAGAAGAGCTGAATATTCATCTATTGGATCAGCATGCTAAACCAGACCACCCTGTGGCTGCATGATCAGCACATTCAAAAGGTGAGGTCAGGAGACCATGGACAGGAGACACTCCAACATGAGTGTCTGCAAGCTGACAACAAACCAGACGCTCTGTAGAGGATGGGAGAAGGTCCCACCACCTGTGCTGCCTACAATTACCAAAGGGAGAGTTGAATTTAAGTGGGCAAAAAGGTCAACTAGGCATCTAGCCTGGACAGTCAAATAGCACCACTAAGTCCTTCAAAGGGACTTCTGTGAATGCAGATGCCCAGTTATGTGCCACACAGCTCTTTTGGCAGAACTTCAAACCAAAGGTGCCATCATAAACTTGAGAACTAGGGCAACAGGGACCTCATGAGAAGTACAAAGATTGCTTTGGGGCAGTGATTTTATCTGGGTTGGGAATTGACTGTCTGAGCAGGGGTTCCTACTAGAAAGGGACCAAAGGTGAAGATCAGGTTGAACAAATGTCAGCAGTGCAGTTGTATGGCAAATAACACAAAGTGTGTGCTGAGCTGCAGGATTTGAGGGATGACCAGTTTGTCAAAGGAAGCTGCAAGGCAAGAAGGTGCAGAGGAGCTGAGTCTGGCTAGACAGGGGAAGAGGATGCTTGGGGGATCTAGCAGCAGCCTATGGTTGCAAATAGGATGGAGCCACACTCTTCTTGGTGTTAGCAGGTGATGCAACATGGGGCAACAGCCACAAGCAGCAGTGCCAGAGGGTACAGGTTGGACAAAAGGGAAATCCCTTCCTCAGGAGGGTGGTGTGCCGTGGAGATACCAGAGGTCTCCATCCTCGGGGGGCGTGGTTAGGGCTCAGACAGAGCCATGCCACCATAACCTCACACCGGGGATAGCCCTGCTGTGAGCAGGTTGGGCAGGAGGCCCACCACCAGATCTGCACGCCAGGGGAGGAGACATCTGCGGGCCAGGAAGGCTTGCAGTCACCTCAGATTTTTATATAGGAAAATGAGCAAGCCAATTTTATAACAGTCAGCTCCATTGGCTAGATGGGAGCCCAAATATGACTCAGGAGTATTTTTTTAAGCTCTTACTCATTTTTTTTTCTGTTATTCTAGGAAAACCAAGCAAGACATCTGGATTTTGAAAGATGGAGAGTGTCAAGATATCTGAGCTTTCTGGTAGCATTCCTGAGCCTAGAAACAGGTGATTAATTAATCCTGTGTGCTCTGTTCTGATTGTATATTAAAGTTAGAGACAGTGAATAATAAAATGACATGCATAATCCTATGTTGAGGGAAAACAACATAAGCCACAAAGGGTTACTAAAAACGTAGTCAAAAGATTAATTTCAAATGCACATCACAAACCAGGCTTCTGCAACTGTATGTCCTGCTGATTAAGGATACCAATTAAATTCAGACACCAGAGTGAAAAGAGCAGGCGTATTTTACTAGTGATAGTGTAATAGAGAAAACATGCAGTAAGAAAAAGCAGAATAGTGCACTTAAAGCAGCAAACAGGAAAAAACAGGGTAACGCATTAAATCATTACTACACGAGAGAGAGAATGGAGATTAAGAAAAATACATCACCACTCGCATGTATTACCACCATCCAGCCCCGCAGTGGCTGGGCAGCCCCGGTTACAGCGAGGGTTTGGGGAGCCTGTCCCGGCAAGAGGGAAATCCTACGCGGTGCCTCCACCCGTAGGTGAGGCTGCCAGAGTCACTGCAAAGGGGCCCAGCCCTATAGACCAGAGATCGACAGGCCAGAATAGCCGGCACCTTTGCTTTGAGAGGAAAATTTCTGGTTTCATTCTCCTGTTGGATTCCACTCAAAGCCTGGCCAGGGCTCAGGGGGGGGGAAGAGACCAAGGGGGTTTCTACTAAGGCCACATACTCGGGTTATCAGCCTCGAACAAGGCTAAACACGGGGAGCTGGAGACATTCTCTCCTCACTACTGATTATATTTTGTCTAAACTGCATGTTTCACTAGCGAGTTTACATTGTTAATGATTCCGTACTTTGTTAGCGGCTTCGGCTTGGCGCCTGTTGTTCAGGCTGAAGTATTTCAATGCTTTAGCACTTTTTATATCAGCATAAGTGCGTTGTTATAACGTAGGACAATACCTACTAGCACAATGGTTATCAGTTATAAAATATACAGGATTCATCTGTAGGTCAACCCTGGCTTGGGCCAGTTGTCCAAGCCTTAGCACTTCAGCCACATAGGCAGAGCAGTTGCAGCCCCTCACTGTGTATCCCCAAGAGCCATGTCTATTTGCAGAGGCTGGGAAAAACCAACACAGACAAGTTGGGGGTTCTTCTGAAGAGGGAAACCACATGCCTCCAGTACAACGTGGAGTATTTTTTCAGAAACTGCTAAATCACACACTTGCAGGCCACACCTGCAAGTCAAAGCATGGGCAGCTTCAGAACAGGGTCAGTGCTGACACTAAACACAGAGAATTCAGCAGTACCATTCTCCACAGGAACTGGTGGTTTGCCTGTTTATTTCACACATCTCAAGGGGAAGTGGCATACTGAGGAAGAGGCAAACAGAGTTTGATCTAATTCCCTTTGATATAACACTGCCACAGACCTCAGGGGCTGGTGCAGGATGACTGGATCCAGTCTGGTGCAGAGACCCTGACTCTGAAATCTGGCAGATCTGTGTCTGTCAATGTCAGGGGAGACTCAGGAGGCGGCTGGTGGAGAGCAAGACGCCTGCAATGTACTAGTCTGTGACAGGGGGTACACATGGATTTGCGCTTTTGCATACAGTTTTGCCTGTTGAATTTACCCATCTGTTTCCCATCTTCTCATGCTTCAGTCAAGGCAGGGGAAGAAGGGATTATCTGCTTTTACAGGCACCATAGTTCATCACACAGAGCTCTATTGGTAGTCCTGCTCCCAGAGAAGCATGTTGCAACCAGGCAAGCTGCACTCAAACCTGCCTCAAGGCAAGGAGTGAAGGACAAGCCTGAAAATTACTTCTGTGTTGTTGTCATGCAAGACAAAACTGGAAAAAGGGTCCTGACACCCTGCTACAGTGACAGCAGTGTAGCTCCCTCAGCTTATCATGTGGATCCACCAGCTAACCTCTGGTTCAGGGCTGCATCCACAACTGCAGGGAGGGATAGGTGGGTTTCTGGATATTGCCTGGCAGTAGCAATGCCAGACAGGACTAAACAAAGATGACACTGAGGCTTGTAAAGAACTTTGATTTATACATATATTCAAAGCCTGGTGTTGCTGCATCTGCAGTGACAGCAGTCCCAGCACTGCCAGGGAACAGACCTGGTGGCAGGATCCAGCTCTAGGTCCAGCTGTACCTTGGACAAAGCATTTCCAGGGCTTTTGGGTAGGGAAAACTGGGGGGGGGG